AGTCAATTAACTAGTAACATCTGCTTAGACCTTCTTTTAGTGTTGTAGTTTGTCTGCCACCCAGCAGATGGCGCCCTTGTTCATCCTTAATTGGAGCCAGTTGATACAAGAATAAAGATGGAGGAAATACCCAGAATGGGGAAGAAAGATGATTCAGAGTCCAGTGTGACATGCAAGATGCCACTTGATGTGGTTTTGTTGCAAAACATAAACACTTGATAAGTTCCTTAAGTTTTACCTCAGTAGACCCGTTCAGTTGAACTGCAAAATTACTGCTGTGCTACAAAGATGAGGACATAAAAGCAGAGAGGATAACACAGAAAAATTGTACCATGACTGGGGGTAAAAAATCAAAAAACTAGTAACTAGTAAAATTATGCCACTAAGCCCGGTTGATTTTTGAGGGCTTTCCATTTAAGAAAATGTCCAATTAATCATTAGTCCATTGATGAGAACAAAGATCAACTTGTTGATAACTTGCATCCCTCTTTCCTACACATACATTTGCAAAAGTAACCCTACTATGTGAAGCGTGTTTTGTTTAGTTTAGTGTTTGTTTTTAAGAAGCACAAGCACATGACGGCATGTTTCTTTCCAAAGTTGGAGTTGGAGTTACTGAGGCAGCAAGACCAGCAACGCATGCAGGAGCTGCAACAGACTCTCGCCGACCTGGAGAGGAAAGACAGGGAACGGGAGAGAGAGATTGCAGCTCAGGAAGAACTGCTACACCATAAAGTAATCTCCCCACAGCGTCCAATCAGCATCTCCCATATGGACAGGGCCCAAGGAGGTGTCTCTCTGCAAAACCAACAGGTCTTAAAATACTTATTACCTGTGATCTCTTTAAATGAAATTCGGGATAACTGTAGCCATACTAAATATGTTTAGTTAGAAACTAACTCAGGAGATTTGATTGAAAAAATGCATTTTTTTCCCCCTCACTATAGAGGGTGTCTACATCATCATCCAATCTGCTACAGACATTGCTGAAAGAGAACTCTGATTTGACTGAGCGCTTGAAGTCCATGAGTCAGGAGAGTGCCACCTTCAAGAGCAGACTTGCCAGCCTGGAGAAACAGCTGCAGCGCAAAGAGTCTGAACTTGCCAAGGTCGCCACAGAAACTGAGAACCAACCCGTCAGTGATCCAGTCAGCCACAGCAGGGTCAGTACAGGCACAGATACGAGACAGGCTCGGTCCAAATTCAGAGGCTGCATCCTTCGAAGGCCGTTAACGTCACAGTGATGCGATGAAGGATGTCCAAATTCAAGGCACCTCCAGATGCATCCTTCTGTTCATGGATTTGATGGATGGATCTGGTGTACCTTTAGCAGTCCGTCCCATCCCAAGATTCAGTGTGGCTGAATGAGACATTTTTATTTTTGTAACAATGGTGAATGAAGCGGGACAGGACTACAGTTTTAGGTAAAAGTACATTCAAATATGGCAGTACAAAAATTTGGTTTGCAGCAGAATAAATCTGCAGGACAGACCGTCGAACTTCAGTCACCCGCTTCCGACCCGAAGTAGGTCTGGTCCTTCAAAAGATGCAGCCCCGAAATCTGGACACACTAAATGTTTTATCCCTATTTTGTATCAGGGTTCTTTTTAAAATATTTTTTAAAATCTCGCCGTAAAGGTCAATTTAATGACTACATGTCGTCTAAGCTTTGCAAATCGACCCCAAGTGAAACTAGTTCAACTCTTCTTTGTAAAGTAACAGTTTCTGTTTTCGGTTTTAAAGCTGCAGCGCTACTACGAGCGCTACCTGCGCGCCGAGAGCTTCAGGAAAGCTCTGGTTTACCAGAAGCGATACCTGATCCTGTTGCTCGGAGGATTCCAGGACTGTGAGCAGGCCACTCTGTCTCTCATTGCTCGGATGGGAGTGCGGCCCTCGTCTCCATTCACATACAAGTGTAGGCCCATCAGGAGGTTCAGGGCTGCGGTTCGAGTTGTAATAGCTGTGTCAAGGTGAGGCGTAAATAAAGCGTCTCGTCTTCCTGAGCCCTGTGGCTGGATACAATTAACTTCAAATTGTTTTCTGTTTGTAGGATGAGATTTCTGACCAAGAAATGGCAAAGAGCAGTGAGAAGGGTTGCATTATCTGAAACCATCAATGGACATCCTACAGGTTAGCATGCACAAATTGCAGAAGTAACATTTGGATACACTAAAAATGTATATATTTTTGAGATTTTGTATGTGAAGTGAATGTAAACTAATCCATATTTAAAGTTTTTAAATCCAATCTAAAACGCCTGGTGTGATGTATATTAAGCCCTCCCTGACTCAGTACTTTATGACAAACTGTGAAAAATCTTTAGGCATGAGCCTTTTAAAGCGCTGTGACTCAGTTTGTCATTGTCATGTCTTTTGCAGCACCTAAAGGTGACGTTTTAAGGCAGCAGCAGCCAAAAATACATTTTTACTCGGCACAAAACGGAGGCAGAGGCGACGCCCAAAGAGCTACTCTCTCATTTCTGCCTCCACCCGGCAAATCGACATTCAGACTGCAACGAAGGTCTTAAATACTTAAAAACACACTTTTTGAATTTTTGTGAAATTTGTAAATCTGTTCTTCACCGAGCTTTCCGTCTTCAGGCACTACTCCAGTTCCTGCTTAACTTCTGCTCACTCTGCTGGAACAACCCAGGATCCAGAACGCTCTCTCACAGACTACATTCATCATCTGGAGAGAGTCCAGCAGAGGCTGGTGGGAAACAGACAGGGTGAGTCCAGGACAGTTTATCTTGGTTTTCCTGAAACTGGTGCATGGTGTTCAAACGAGTAACGGTCAGAAGTGGTCTGGCTTCCTCTTTCTCTCTCACCGTCCAGTCGCTGCCCAGATAGGGACAAAAATAAACAGAACTACATCATGTACATTTCTAAGCAACCCTCTCTGCTTAGAAATGTAAGCAGAACATTTTCAAACACTTTTTTTCCAGATCTTTTAAGGTTGAAAGCAGAAGGTTTCAACAGTTCAACTCAGGAAAAATTGCACAGTTAAAGTGCTGGACTAAGACCTTTTTTTAAATTTAAGATGAAGGCAAAACTGTACAATTTGGATCTATCATTCATTTCTTCATTTTATGTATTGCTTTATTATTTGTGACACCTGCAGTCACAAAGAACCAATACTGTCCAGTTACAGTTTATAGGACTTTGAAATATCCAGAAATTTTAATGGGAAGAAAAACTCAAGGGCGAAAAAAAAAACCCATAAATTTCCACACAGAACACTGGCTCTTATAAATGAGAAATTTCAAAAACTATGTGAGACTGTGAAATGTCATTTTCATTAAGATTAATGAAAATTATACTGATTATAATACAACTGCTAATCACACCTCCATATCATGGAAGTGTTTGTGTTGCTACTGTAACTTGGTCAGTGTATATACATTATTGTCATACTTAAGGGTGAATATGGATTTAAATAATTTATGTATTTTGTGTCTTTTAGGTTCTTCTGCCTTCCAGTCTCACCCAAAGTAATCCATCCATAAAAGCCTGAATGTTGCCTTTGTGTTGGCACCAAACTGACCATGCCTTAATGCCTTGAAGGATGTTTATAATGTTTAGTTTTTTTTATTATTTCACATAATTTCTTTTAATTGCATAAATTATTTTTGTATTTTTTTTTTTATGTGAATTTTATTTTGTATGCTTGCTATTTTGAACATGATTTTAAAGACGCAGCTTGAACAAAATTGTCTCATTATTTCAAATAGTGCTTCTTTTTTATGTTGTAGAGTGATTGTACATCTTGGTATGTTTGCTCTGGTTTTATGCTAAATATGAGAGATCAACACCCTATGCTGAGTGAGCAGATCATTGTATCAGGATAAAATGTATTTCCTTGTGTTTGGTTTTACTTTAACATGATTAAAGAAGACACTATGCTCTCTTTACCAAACTGAACTTTTCTTGAGATCTTGACTATTATGACGTATTTTTAAACCAACTTAATCCAACTTAACATGCCTGCCAGATTTTTGGCATTAATTACAATTTAAGGGTTCTAATTACAAAGAACCCTTAAAGCACACCATATAATTCAAAGTAAACAGATCATCTACTGTTTGGTATCTGATAGCTGGTACCAACTCCTTTCCAGAAATAAACTAAGAAATATTTGAACTGGGGCCTAAAGTCACAATTCAGAAACCAAGAACATTCAGCATCTACATAAGCCAACATAAATGTACCGGTAGATGTCAGCTGCGTAAACCCCATGGACTTCATGATTTAAGTTTTTCATCTGTTTCTTGAGGTGAAACCCTCTGACATTAACTGACATTCCTGTTTTTTAAATTCATTTTTCAAAGTAAAACCAGAGAACCTAGTTTTGAGCCAGGACTTCAGCTGAAATAGAAAACAAAACATAATACGAGTTGATCTTTGGAATCGCAAACATTGGAGTTGGGTTGTGTGTGTGTATGCAATTTGTAATGTCACAAAAATAAAAAAGGGTAGCATTTTTATTTTCATTTCTAAGTGGCAACAGGTGAAGCGTGTATTTGAAAAAGTTTCAAACATTTATTTCTCTAATAAGTTGACAATAAATGTCTGAATTAGACATTAAACCAGGAGTCAGAAAAACTTGAGTATATCTTTTAATTAAGAATTACATTGACAGTATTATTTGACATAAATATGTTCCATGGCACATTATGAAGATCTTGAGTTTATGATCACCTCTCACAATACCTTAATGATGACTTTGAGTCTATAGAAAAAATATTTTGAAAGAGTTAAAATATAATTCAGTAATCTTGTTTTAATTACAAGTTATCAAATCTTTACATAGTAAACTATATTAACGTGACAGCGATCTGAAATACACATTTTATCTTTCTGCCTGGATGTTTGTTGCTTTCTTTAAACGAAAGGCACCGCCCGTGATTGCTTCGTTCTATTCAGACGAAGTCAATAGAGCCCCGCCCAAGCGTCCTCCCCTGCAACACAAAACATTCGCACCTCGTGAAGCTGTCACTCAGTGACGCACATCCTGCGCATTTCAACACAGAGATGCTAACGCTGGGCTAAAGCTCCACTGGTAACCGTTGTGTCGTACATTGTTGTCTGAGGTTTTAACCTGTGGAAAAACAGTCCTGGCCCGTTCGGAAGAACTCGTTCCATTTTTCTCGTATTTGTCTGGGATGTATGGATGGATAGTTGACGGAATCTCGTCTCTGTTTGAGCCCGTCACCGGGCAAAACCACACCGAGTGGCCTGCGAGAAGAAGGGGCAGCGGGGAAGGACCACGGCGGGAGGACAGCCACGGAAGACCGACTAAACGGAACTACAGAAGGTCGGTGTCATTCTGATACCTGGTGGTTCCTTTCTGGGTGCGCTCTTATTCCTCTGTGATTTAATTTCAGATGTGTTGACTTAACGCTTATGTTGGTGACTTAAGTTAACCTGATAAGCTAACAACAGTGACGGGGTATGTTTGAAAATAAGTATTTTGTTTGCTACTTTTTGATATTTCCCCAGTTAAGCACATCTTAATTAAATGGCTAAATCACCCACTAATGGCCTAATTAATTAAGTTAGGCGTGCTGAAGCAGAGACTCGTCTAAAAGCTGCAGGGCACAGGCCTTCAAGGCCTGGAGTTTGAAATCTGCTCCTCCTGTTCTGCATGTTTTAGGTGTTGCAGTGCCTCCACACACCTGACTTAAATAAAAGGGTGATTACCAGCCTTGCTGACATGTCAAGAAGTTAATTCAGCGTTTTGATTTGAGTGTGCTGGAGCAAGGATGCATCCAAATGTTGCAGGACAGTGACCCTTGCTCTATATAATCTACTATCTCTATTGATGCTCTTTTAACCTCATAGGATTACCAAGAAAACTAAGACATTTTACATGTATGCTTTCTTTGTTCAACATGAAGCCCAGCTGAAGAGTCTCTGTTTTGAACTGAAGTTATTTGGTCAAAGCTCATGTTTCTCATGAAAGTCGTTACAAAGTATGGCAAGCTCCATTTGTTTACATTTGTAATGCTGGAACTGAACAATCGTTTCCTGGCACACCTCTTGGTTTGTATTAAAGCACAAATTCTTCTGTTTTATTTTTGCCAACAGTGGAATTATCCACTATTGCCTGGATAATTCAATAATTTTACAAAAAGAGGTTAATTATTATGAATAGGAGGCAACATTATAATTTTCCTCTGTTACAGTGTGCATGTTGCCGATGGTGTTTGTCAAAGTGACCCAGTGGCGGCAAAACGACGCAAACGCGGTATGTTGGGATCAATTAAAAATGCCAGGGTTTGTTTCAAAAAGTCTGTGTATTTCAGTAACTGTTGTGGTCTCCTGTCTTTGTAGATGTTGTGATCAGCTTTGTGAAGAAGACAGTGGCAAGCATAGCAGGTCTGATGAGCCTTCGGAGACCGCTGCCTGCAAGGTGTCAAAATCCAAACAAGCATGAAGAAACACAGGTGGGTGTCATCATGTCTTTGTGTTCAAGTGCTGCATCGTGTTCTGTAGATATGGAGAACCCGCCGAATAGAAGTTTTGCTGTATGCCCTGTTGAAGGTGTTTCCACTGGTGGGGTTCCTCAAGTCTCTGTTCTTGGGCTTTAATTTTCCTCAAGGGGACTACACAACGTCAACTTCAAACATATCGAAAAATATGATTTTCTATTAAATAATGGATGCCAGTGGTGCTTGGTCAGTGCTTGATGCTACAGGGCAGGTATCCTTTTCAAACCTTGCCTCAATAGACCATAAATTAAATGCCACATCATTTTGCTCTTATTTACTCACCAATTTTTGACTTGGCATTTGCAAAACTTGGTCTTATTACTTCCCAGTTTTATTATTGCCGCTCGATGCATATTGACCTGGATCAGGTCTCCCTTTGATGGCTCCAATTGGTCCAAACTGTTGCAGCTCATATGTTTGATTTTTTTTTTTTATGTGCAGAACCTTATGTTTAAATGTGCTTCATGGATAAAATATATTTCATTTAAAGCATTTTTTTTTATGTTGTTTTGATCTAGCCTGTTACTCTAATGGGCATAGATGAGCTTCACACTTCATGGCTCAGTGGTACTGACTGGAAAATGGGTAAGTGAAGATGAATATCTCTACACCTGTTGACTCTTGGCTGTATTCATATCTAATATCTGCTGTCTTCTCAGATAAATCTGTAGGTGGGATAAATGACAGGAGCTCAAAGAATCCCTTTCAAAGCACTTTACCCCCTTTAAGAAAATACAGGTCAGTGATCTAGTTTCTGTCCAGTTTGTTCATTAGTCTTAATAAAACATTCAGCACACACTCTTTATGAACTACTTTTTTTGTTTTGTTTTTGAATGTAGTGGAGCCACGCTCCCATCTGGGCTCCCAGAAAGAGGGAAGAACTGGGAGAGAAGAGGCTCCCTTCAACTGCTGCCTTCAAGGCCCGCTATCAGAGTGGGAACACCTTATCCTGAACCGATTTCTAATGGCTACGGACACACACGCTGCCCTAAACCCAGTCTTACTGTGGAAGAGGTATATTTAGACCTAAATTTAGTGCTGTCTGGAATATTCTGTTACACTTATGATGGTCATTTTCCACTTTATCCTTGCATTGCGTGATTAATTATAATCACTCAAGGGTACCTCATTATTACTGAACATTTTTTGTCACTTTATATCTTCAGTTGTGATCTTTGTTTTAGGCCATAAAGCAGAACAATAAGGAGCACTACAGACGCCTACTGGAGATGGTGACGGAGAAATACAGCAAAAGCCAACCGCTACCTTTCAACCAAGCTAAACCGCATGAGTGAGTGTTTTCATCTGCTGGTGTGGTGTTTTCAAAGATGCTTAATAAGATTACCATGCAACTCTTATTTGTTCTTTTTTGAATTGTTCCCTCTCCTAGCGAGTCGCTGTTACAGAGTTCCCACAAAACATCTTCAGAGAGAACCTTTGATTCAGTCTCCAGGAGGGTGGTGTGCACAGGTAGGACTCTCCTCTGGATACCATTTGTCTTTAATATTACAAATGACCCCTTCTATTTGTTTTTGGCCCCCAAACTTGCACTTCATCTGTTTTTTTTGTTGTTGCTTTTTTGTGTCTGTGGAGAAATACGACAGATTTACTTTCACAAGTGGAGAATTAAAACTTTCGCTATTATGCTCCATTTTAATATGTGCTTAAAAAAACTTGGCTAATTGTGATTAAATTAACATTTACGGCCATTTTCTAGTAAAAAACAATCTTCTCTTCTTCACAGCTTTACCAACTGTGTTTACGTACAGAAATACTACTGCAACTAAGGACAGGTTGGTTTTAAACTGCTTGAATTATATGTCCTTTTCTTGTCTTGTCAATATTTTAATAGCTTTTATCTTTCATATCATCAGGTGGGGAGGTTTATCTTTTAATAAGTCATACAGTGAAACCCTTCAGGAAAAACAGCCTGTTAGATATGCAAAGGTAGGCATACATTAACTCTCTCCTGTCATGCCAAAGCAGCCATTGAACCCTGTGAGTAATGCTGACCTGTATTGCAGCAAAAAGCAGCAGCCGATGTGGACCTTTCCACAGAAGTCGCTACTCGCCTTAATCTCGTGGACAGAGATGCTTCTCCGTTCAGCGCCACTGAAACTCAATCTTCCTATGCTTTACATATAAAGCACAGTGATGAGGACATACCCAGGCTGACCAAGGTGAGATTGTTGAAAAGTAATGTGGTGCATTTCTGATTGCATGGTTCCACTGTCATTTCAAATGTCTCTTCTCTGTCTTATAGGAAATGGCAGCGGAGGTTTGTGAAGCTTTGGCTCAGAGAGATTCTAACCTTGTTTTAAGTTCAGCTTTCAAGCTTCGCATCACGCAGCGAGACCTGTCCACTCTACTGGAAGGTGGATGGCTCAATGATGAGGTACTTGTATGCTTAACTAAGATGGATCTTGGCTCTAAACCAGCCCACTCCACTGAAGACAAGATTGAACTCAAAAAATGTTTATTGCTTTGTTTTATGCCAATTTTTCCTCCAAGGTGATGAACTTCTATCTTTCCCTGGTTATGGAGCGACGTTGTGGAGAAAGTGGAAGATTAAAGGTGTACAGTTTTAGCACCTTCTTTTACCCAAAGCTGCGGGGTGCTGGGGGAGGAGGACAGTGTGGAGGACACGTGGCTGTGAAGCGATGGACCAAGGCGGTTGACCTCTTTATGTTTGACCTCATCCTCGTCCCGCTGCATCTTGGTGCCCATTGGGCATTAGCTGTGAGTTTGAGTCATCACATAGCTTAAAATGCATCAATATTTACTTCAGAAATGTTTAGATGAAATTCCAATGAGAATGTAGAAAATTATTTGAGTTAAAAAAAGAAAACTTAGATCAGCTGCTGCTCCCACCTTCCAACGGAATAAATGCAGATTGCTATTCTCAATGTTATATTTGTAAAAGTAACACTTTGCTAAAAGTTCAACATACTTTTCACCGTATGTATACTTTGTAGGGGAGTAACTATGCCTAAAACCCATCAGACGAGATATGGAGTTCACTAGAATGAGACTGGACAATATTTTAATATAACTTTCAAGAACTTTTCAAGACCGTTCCATTTATACTGCAAAGACCTTTATTCTGCATTTTTGTTTTGTTTTTCTTCCTCACAAACTCAATGAACTTTCTTTTCCTGAGTTATTCTACTTTCATCTACCTACTGCATCAACGAGGCATGGTGTGCAGTATAACATGTCCCAGTTGTTGTGGATAGCGTGCGAGTACGATGCAGCTCAACTTACACCTGGACATCCAAATATCGGTTACTAAAGCAAAGCTTTTTACCTCTTTCAGCATCTGAACAACTTGCAGTACTTGCATATTATTTGCCTTCTTGCTGTTTACTCAAAATGGTGGAGCAGTTTGTATTATAATTTCATCAGGCGAAGCCATGCTGACTGCATTTGGCTTGTACTTGCAAGACAGCAGTCGTCTCAATGAGAAATATTGTAATGTTTTAATACACAAGATGTTGTGCGAGAAGATTTTGTCTCATCCCCAATTTGTAGAGATTTCTAATTCACTGATTATCATCTAGACTTCACAACTTCCCTACAGAATCGTCATGCATTAATGTTTAGTCCTAAATTTTGTTGCATCAGTTTAACACAGCCATATTAATAAATCACTTCTTGAGTTTGTTTTGCCAACAGTATTTTGTGCAATAATTTTTAAACCATTTCCTCTTTAAAATGTTTGTTTCTCTCACGCTTCACAAACTTTGTAATAAATTAATTAAAAAGTTAGCATTTCTCACACTCAAGCTTGTGGTACTCCATATTTGTTCACAATTTTATTGTCAAATTGTAAGACAGTAGATTTACAATTTGTTTAAAGAAAAGTATGAATTAAGTCAACTTGTTTTAATCAATGTTTTCATTTTAGGTGATGGATTTAAAGTCAAAGACTGTTAAATCATATGACTCAATGGGTCGGAAACATGACGACATCTGTGATCTTTTACTGTAAGTCTGTTTTCTATTTTATTCCCCTCCAGTTTTTCAATTTTTAGTGTTTGTGTCTTTGAGTTGTACTTCACTATGAATGATGTAGCGATGGTTATTTTCCAGTCTCTATCTTAAAGAAGAGCACAAAGCAAAGAAAGGAAGGGAGCTTGACGGTGCCAAATGGACCGTTGGAAGTCTGAAGGCTGGTGTATGTTAACTTTCTATTGACATAAGATTTAAAAACATAATGGATTTTTTTTCTAAAGTGGAGATTGATGCATCATTCTGTACACAGGACATTCCCCAGCAGACTAATGGAAGTGACTGCGGTGTTTTTGTTTGTAAATATGCTGACTATATAGCAAAGGGAAAGCCCCTCACCTTCAAACAGGTAAACTCAAATTTAATAAAACCACATGGGGTTTATTCCTGAAAAGTGCAGTTGCTTGTGCAGAGCAGTGTTTTTCCTACCATGCTGCCACATGTTATCAGCCTTGATGATTAAATCAGTGGTTTTTAAAGTGTATCATGCAGATTTTGTTCTAATGTGATTGCTTTCTTTAACTTTTTTTTTAGTGCCACATGCCTCTCTTCAGGAAGTTAATGATGTGGGAAATCCTTAATCAGAAGCTGCTATAGAAGATTACACCATCAGAAGCAACAACATCAACTTCGTTTTGATCTCACAAACAATTGTTGCAATTGTTACTTCCAGATATTTGGAGTAATAAAACACTAGTCTTAACTTTGTCTCCTTTTCTCCCAAAGGAGCATAGAAACTATGTTTAATCTCTGAGTTCTAATTGGAGATGTTTTGCTGAAGAAAATTGGTTGTGCACAAACTTTGGCACTAGTGAGTGAATGACTTTTGACTTCACATTATTTTTTTTTTACAGCTTGATGTACTGCTTGAAGTGCCTTTATCCCGCTGGTGGAGCTCTGCAAAGAGCACGCTTTATGGAGAGTTTGTTTGGTTTTTGCAACTTGACTGCATTTTTGAGCAACTTGGCCCAGAATGCAGAGATGATCCTGATGGCCATTTGTTTGATTTATTGATTGAAGTATGTAAAGATAATTATATTTAGTCACAAAACTGTTCTGATGTGTAAAATATAAATGATGAAAATATTGATATACCTCCTATTTTGCCTTTTGTCCAGATATAAATTGCATGTTTGCAAACTTGCTGTAATAACATTTGTTTAACATTATTTATAACTTACCAAATTAAAAAAAAAAAAAAGTTTGTTTGTGTGTGTTTATATGTATGTTTCCTTCCATAATTGGAGTATGACTTATTTGTTCTCCCTAATTTAGAGCAGGTACGAAACTTAAAATTTTAGTGTACTTAATAGGGAACTGCTGTACAAGCATGTATGTTAGTGCTCATGCTTAAAATGTGATCCCATCCCCCTCCTGTAATAAAGTGTTTTTGTTGTTTTTTTTTGTAATCTGAGGGTTTGTTTTTACTAGTCTGCAGCCATCCTTGAGGGTTCTAGTGAATCAGTTTTATTCTGTTCCAAGCTGATCAAGATGTGAGCTGTAACCTTGTAAAAAGGTTAATCATTACATGCTACTTCAGAGATTTACGGGGTTCTTTTTGGTTTTTTTTTGTAAAGACAATCCAGTTTTATTTTTAAAAGGAGCCGGAAATGGCGTCATTGGCTACAGAGCGTTAGAAGGTTGCTGTTGTTAGGCGGTGTGGACAGAAACGGCTCGTTTTGGGGCGCGCTTCAGCACTACCTAATTTGCTTTCCCCTCCGGGCTCATTACACTTATTAAACGGGTTTCAAATTTCTGACTGTAAAATGAGCGACAACGAGAAGGATTTTAGGGAGCAGGTGAGTTTTAGTAACGGAAGAATATTGACTTACGTCGGTTAAGATATAAACGGCTAGCTAGCTTATCCGTTCCCAGCCGTTGGACGTCTGAAAAGGTTTGCTAGACGAAAGGCTTAAGATCTCTTTACACTGATAATCTGCACAACTGTATGTTTTATTAATGCTTTTATACGAATAATTTTGGATAGTTGCATCCCATTACAGAACACAATTATATTAGCCAAGCATGCTAGGCTACACCATGCGGCCTGTGCAGATAAGGAAACATGGTTCCGCCTCATAGAGCTACCATCATTTTAGCACTTTGATCTTTAATTACCGAGTTATGCCATGAATTATGAGTATTAAAGTAACTAATGTATGTGCACTGTGATCCTCGCTTATTTAAAATTCAATGTTCAATTATAAGCTAAGTTGTCGAGCTTTTAATTTTTTTTTCTTTCGTGTTTATTTTTTTCTTTATACCATTTGGTTGAAACAAAAACCAACTTGCCTTATCACCCTTGTTTGTTTTTTTGTCAAGGTTAAGGTGGGAAGAAAGAAAAAGGCCCAAGACGTGTCAGATGTGACGTTTTTAATGTTTGAAGCTGATGGGGTTGATGCATGCTAATGTTTTGGAAGCTGAAAAGAAGCGATCAAGATCTGGCCTCGCTTCTAGTTGTAATGGCAGATGGTAAAAGGGGGAAGAGGAGGAAAAAAGAAGTCAGATTCAAACTGAAGAAAGAAGAAATGAAGGGGTTGTTATGAAGTAATGAAGTGAACGAAGTTATGAAGTTAAGATCAGAAGTATAACTGGGTATGAGTGATTTCCTAACAACATGTTATATTATTGCTCTATTTTACTTTTCTTTCTCCTTGGCATGCTTAATTATTTTCGCCCTTTCTGTATCAAACGCATCACTAATTGTTCCCTCAATTTTGTTAGATGTTTTTAATGTGGATTTGCTAATGTTTTTAATCTATATTCAGTTATTTGTCACTTGTTTTTTCTTCAGTTTTCCAGATAATTTCTATCAAACCCTCTAATCACCAAACTAAGGTGCTGTTCTTCTGAAAAGGCTTTAAGGGGGCAGAGGGTTAACATCTCCCAGCCCTTATGTTACTGTGTGACCAACTTGTCTGTAAAGGGCTTCTGATACCTGTCTTTTATTCGCTCAGGACTCTCGGGGAGGCTCAAGGAGTGCATCCCCAAGAGGCTCTGCAAAATCCGCCAGCCACTCTCCTGCACGGTCGAAAGATGGCTCTCGGCACTCCCGGTCCAGATCTCGATCTCAGTCCAGATCAAAATCCAGGTGAAATAATGCTTCTTTTTTTTTTTTTATCTCTTGTAATGTTTTTCAGACCTGAAGTGATTTTATTAGCCCCAGTTCTGTCTAATGTCTTCCCCCTGTCATGCACAAAAAAACAACAACAATAGGTCAAGATCCCACCGAAGCTCTCGCAGACGCTACTCCCGCTCTCGTTCCCACTCTCGACGCAGACGTTCAAGGAGCCGATCTCGAAGCTCAGATTACCGTCGACGTAGGAGCCACAGCCGCTCTCCGATGTCAAATCGACGTAGACACATTGGCAACAGGGTGTGTGTTACTGCTTTAAAATTTTGTTGGATTAAAAAAATATGGTTTTTTTATTTTATTTTTTATTCTAACTCACTCTTTTCCTCTTCCAGGCCAACCCAGACCCCAGCGCTTGCCTGGGTGTGTTTGGTCTGAGCCTTTACACCACTGAGAGGGACCTGAGAGAGGTTTTTTCTAAATATGGCCCCTTGGCTGATGTCAACATTGTGTATGATCAGCAGTCGCGACGTTCAAGAGGTTTTGCCTTTGTTTATTTCGAAAACAGTGAGGACTCCAAGGAGGTAAGCATGTGATTTGGTTATATTTTTAGTTGCAGTTCTGTTGTGCTGCTATCTCTAATAGTTGTGTCTCTTAGGCTAAGGAGCGTGCAAATGGTATGGAGCTTGATGGACGCAGGATCAGAGTGGATTTCTCCATCACCAAAAGAGCTCACACTCCAACTCCTGGAATCTACATGGGACGCCCCACATAGTGAGTGTTTGGGGGTTGAGGGGCTTCTATTTTTATGCGAAGTATTTAGAATCCATGGCGTGTATCAGGGTGACAGCTGAACCTGTGTGTTTGCAGTGGTGGTGGTGGAGGAGGAGGCGGTGGTGGTGGAGGCGGTGGTTCATCTCGCCGTTTCTCTCGGGACTATGACAGGGGCTATGACAGAGGATATGATAGAGGTTATGATCGCGACTATGATCGCTACGAAGAGCGAGAGTACCGATCTTACAGGTACAATTACATTGACACAATGTGCAAGATTGTAAGATGAAACTACTGACAAATTTTACTTAAATTTTGTTCGATAGAGCTAATATTCATGTAAAATGAAAGTTCTTTCTCCTTTGACAGACGCAGATCTCCGTCTCCGTACTACAGCAGAGGTTACCGCTCTCGATCTCGGTCCTACTCGCCACGTATGTATATGACGAGCATTTTTTAAAAATGTGCTTTGAATAAAATGTTTACAAACATGTTTGATTATTGACGTTTCATATCATTTGTAGTTTCAGTTAATTATTATACGTAAACATGTAATGATTTGTCTCTTAATAGATAGATGGATTTTAAGTCTTTATATTCCGCCAGAACAGTTTGTTGATTTCTTTTTTGTTTTCTTACAGGTCACTACTAGGCAGTGAAGACAGTGTTATGTTTTGGTGTTTGTTTGTTTTTTGCATTATTATTTTTATTTTGTTTTTTTCCCATTTTGACCAGACCATATTTTTTGTGTGTGTGTGTTTGTGTGAAAGGGACTTTTGCATGTATTCATGTATCAGAAAGTTGAAAGTTTGATTTTTAGCCCTAAACATGTGTCGGCAGTGCTGAATTTACATGTCACTGAGTTTAGTACAGATTATGGAGGTTCAAAATGTTGGGAATTAATGCTTTTTCATCTTTGCTCTTCACCTAAATAAAATTCTGTATGTTGTCAAATAAAAATGCTGAATGCTTTTTAAACTTGGAATTTGGAAAAACAGTTTGCGCCAACTGACATGTTTTTATCTTTGTAGGATTTTCTTCTTTTTTAATTATTTTTTTAGTGTTCTACAGTAGATGGCTCCTTTAAACTGTGTCTATTCCCCAATAAATAAATAAATTACATTTTTGTCTTTGTCTGGTGACTTGCTGCTTTCTTTTTGTCATGTAAAATGAAAGTACTTTTGTTGTTTGTATATAAGCAATAAAATACCAGTTTCTAATTGTGCATGATCTACTTAAGTTATAAATAACATCCATATCTGATCTTAAACCTAAGTGTGAGAAAATCTGACTCTTGGGTTTCTGTGGTTTTGTCCTTTTTCATGATGAACAGAGTTTTGTTGATATGATTGCTAAAAGTTGATGAACTTCAATAAACATTGCTGAACCAATTGGATTTGAAAATATTACCTTTTGTATTTGATTTGGAAACAAGACGAAAGGTCATAAAAAGTTGCTTTGACATCACACCCAACTTAATCCATTGTGCTAAAAATATTCAATGTGGGGTCTTGATATTTGTTTTATAGTTCACAGCAATTCAATAAAATTGAAGTCTGCAATTTTTTTCATAACTCGGCCTCAAGCGAGGACCCCCTGGTCCCAAGGAGCTGCTTCGGAGCGTGGAAGTGAGAAAAAAAATACATAATTGGCATTGAAGTTTATTAAACTAATGTTACAAAGTATACCAAGTGCATGTTTTGTTGAAGTAAACTCCATTATGTATGTCACACAAAAAGTGAATAAACCCGTTTGGTCAGTGTTTGGGAATAAATCTTAATTGGAAAGTTTCATTGCCTCCCAAGTTTGAAAGAAAAATTAATTTGCATGTTAAACAACAAAGAAGTATGCAGCGCTGTCTAAAATTGTCACCTGCAGATGACAAGGCATAAAAAAAACATGCGAATTATACTAGATCAACTTTCCTGCTGTTACTTGAATTACGTTATTTACATGTTAATTAATAAATGACGATTCTGAAAAATACAACTCTGCAAACAAGATATAGGCAGATTTGGTTTTGAAACCGGGAAAATTGATGTTTTCTGCAGTATTCCAACAGAAAATCAGTTTATCTTATCTCGGGTTGCCTCTGACGTATCGTTCCAGATGTCCGGCTGACCAATCAGAGACGTTTTGCGTCAAAACCCTTCCGCTTAGCTTTCCGACCTGCCTTTCCAGTGGAGTGGCTGGTAGAGAACAGACTGAAGAGAAGCAAACACCACCGAGGAGAAGTAATTCAAGGTACCAAGCGAGTTGCTTTCCCTGCTAAACATCTTCCGAATTCTTTTTAATGAGTTAAGGAAAATTTTTGAACGCTCATAAAACCCCTGTGGTCGGATACTCAATGGTTCCAGTTAGCCACCTGCTACCGCTTAGCATGCTGTGTTTGAATGAGCATATGAGTCCAGCTGCCTCTACACGTTTTCACCAGGGCGAGCTGAGAAGAAATGTTAGCTTGTTAAAGGGGATATTAATGTTTAGAGGTTACTTTACAAATAAAGGACAGTATTTACATGTGTGTCATGGTTTAATATTCTCTTACCTCCTACAGATGCCTCCTAAAAAGACAGAAGCCCCAAAACAACCTCCATTAATTGGGCGATTTGGAACATCCCTGAAAATTGGCATTGTGGGGTTGCCTAATGTCGGGTAAATATACTTGAATTACTCCTGCAGATAATGTTAATATTTTTAATTACAAATGGCTTTAGTTACTTGGATATTACTGCTGCTTTTCTGACTTTGTTGCAGGAAATCTACATTTTTTAATGTGCTCACCAAAAGCCAAGCTGCTGCAGACAACTTCCCATTCTGCACCATTGATCCAAATGAGAGCAGAGTGCCAGTTCCCGATGAGCGATTTGATTACCTGTGCCAGTACCACAAACCAGCCAGGTGTGTTATAGCTGTACATGGTTTTCATCATAGCAAGCATCTACAGTGCCTTTCAGAAGTAATTGTAGCTTTTGAACTTAACATTTTGGCCCATCACAACAACACATTTTAGCGTGTTTTTGTACATTTTATTTGATATGTTCAGACAAAGTAGTGGAAGGAAAAAGTTTTCAAAATCTGTACAAAATAACTACATTTTTGTCAGAGTAGGAAGAGGACTTTTGAACTTAAAAATATTCTCACAGATTCAAAATTAGATTTAACTGAACTGAGCTTTGACTGGGCCGTTATAACACATGAATATGCTGTCTAAACCATCCCATGTTCTGGGTCATCCATCAGTGATGTGATGATGAAGCTCACCGCTTTATATTCACCAAGTGGTGTCGGGACATGTTCGAACATTTTAAAAGGCGTTTGCACAAAAAGCTTCAAAGTGTCTATGTGCTGCACATCAACCGTCCCCAGGAGGTGTGTTGTGACTAAATGAAGCCACTTTAACTCCTTTAATTTTCACTTGGGCAAAGCAAGCAACACATTCTCTGTATCCTCTTTCCAGCTTGTCTCCCCATAGCATGCTGCTGCTACCTCCAGGCTTCACCGTGGGGGTGCTGTGATCAGAGTGACGTTTACTGTTAGTTTTTTGCCAAACATAGTGCTTTGTATATAGACTAAAAATGTCAACTTTGGTCTTACCTGACCACAACCAGTCCTCCACATAACATGCATAGGGTGTGGCGAACAGCTTAGGCCCCCCCGCCCCACAATTTTTTGATTATATAAAAAGACGGAAATATAACATGATAAATTACGGAAAAGTTGGAATGCTCCACTTAATGCATGGTCTTTCTGATTGATTTTCATCTTTCTCTCCTCAGTAAGGTTCCTGCTTTCCTAAATGTGGTGGACATTGCTGGTCTGGTGAAGGGAGCTCATGCAGGGCAGGGACTTGGAAATGCCTTTCTCTCTCATATCAGTGCCTGCGATGCCATTTTCCATATGACCCGTGAGTAGCCAGTACGGCGCCTTCATCTGCAATTTTTGAGATCAGGCTGAAGCCAGTTACACATTTAAGGAGAAGAGAATGAACTCTGATGTAAAAATCAATTGGATTTGTTTTGTGAGAGACGCTTTGGTATGTTTAAGGTGCTTTCGATGATGAAGACATTACCCACGTTGAGGGCAATGTGGACCCAGTGAGAGACATTGAGATCATCCATGAGGAGCTGCGGCTAAAAGACGAGGAAATGATTGCTCCCATCATAGACAAGCTGGAGAAAACCGCAGTCAGAGGAGGAGACAAGAAACTAAAACCTGAATACGTAAGAAATTTGGACTGACATATTTGTCTGTGTAACATTCAAGATCTTATAGTTTTTCCACTCTCATTGACATGCTGATTTTACTTCCAGGATATCATGCTGAAGGTGAAGAACTGGGTTGTGGAAGAGAAGAAACACGTCCGATTTTACCATGAATGGAATGACAAAGAGGTATTCATGTGTGTGCATGCATGCGTTTGCATCGAATTGCATCCATTTGTGTGTTGTGATGCATTTCTCAGTGTTGAATTCCTCTTTGCAGATTGAGGTGCTGAACAAATATCTGTTTCTGACCTCGAAGCCCATGATCTACCTGGTTAATCTCTCTGAGAAGGATTACATTAGAAAAAAAAACAAATGGTATTTCATTTTTGCTGTCTTGTTTCTTTGGGATTCATTAATTTACTCGTCTATTGCTCTGATCCAACACTGACTTATGATTTAAGGTTGGCGAAAATCAAAGAGTGGGTAGATGCCCACGATCCTGGTGCCATGGTCATCCCCCTGAGCGGAGCGGTGGAGGCTAAACTTCAGGAGATGGAAGAGGAGGAGAGGATTAAATACTGCGAGGAACAGAAAACGCAGAGGTCAGACTGATGACATCCACTGATAGGCTTTGATATTCCGTTTAAAAGTGTCACGTGAAATTGATTTGAACACAAGGCATTGCTCAAAATGATGTGTGCTGTGCATTTGCTTTCACCTCTTCTGAATCAGTGCTTTGTAGAAACAGCTTTTGCTGCAATTACAGCTGCAGGTTTTACACATTTTTGTTGCAGCTTTGATTCTCCAAGGAGTAAAATTTTCTAAATTTTTTCTTTCCCTGAAACAAATACCAGACAGATTGAATAGAGAGGATTTGTGAAGACTTTTTTAAGCCTTCATGGAGATTGATTGATTGATTTGTGGGTTTAAACAACACCAATCCATTCTAGCTCTAGTCGTATTTCTACAGTCGTTGTCCTGCTGTGTGTTCAGAGCGTTCTCCTTCTTAAAGCAACTTTTATTTTGATCAAAACGTTTGCACCTCAGACTGTCAGTGATGAGATGGCAACTTTAGTTATTTATCTTTGTGTTTGTCATTTGTAATCATCACATATGTGTTTCTATGCTTACAGTGTTCTGACCAAAATTATAAAGACAGGCTACGCAGCACTACAGCTGGAGTACTTCTTCACGGCAGGGCCGGACGAGGTCCGGGCGTGGACCATCAGGGTGAGCGCTCTTGAACGTCTCATTTGATCATTCGCTGCCTTCCTTTTGTTTCTGTGTCTTACACCTTTTTGTAATTCCTTCCTTTCCTACGTCATTCCTTCTGTCCTAATTCTTCTTTCCTCTTGTCTTCACCTTTCCATCCTCGTCTTTACTTTTCTTCGCCTCTTTATATCTTTTTTTTTGTCATTCATTCTTGTTCTCTCGTTTCACCCAGTAATACTGACGTTTACCCATAAATTATGGTGAACTATAGCATTTTATGTCTTTAGATGAAGAAAACAAAGGACTGAAAGCTTAGAAAGGTGTGAAATGTTTAAGAGAAATGTTTAGAAATTGCAGAACCATGAGGTATTCAGCGAAAGTCAAAACGGTACAAAATTATGGTATGAGTTGTCTGGATGCAGTTTGAGATTTCCTTTTGCTGTTTTACTCTGACAGAAAGGAGCCAAAGCTCCTCAGGCTGCAGGGAAAATCCACACAGACTTTGAGAAAGGCTTCATCATGGCTGAGGTGATGAAGTTCAATGACTTCAAAGAGGAGGGCAGTGAGAGTGCGGCCAAGGTGAGTGAAACGGCAAAACAGATGAGTTCTTATCAAGAGTTGCTGCAGTGCAGCTTAACATTAACATGTTTTCTTGTTTTTGTCTCTTTGTTCTCAGGCTGCTGGGAAATACAGACAACAGGGCAGGAAC